AACCTAAGCCAGCCCTTTATTTATCTAGACTGAGAGGAAGGACTGCCTTTCTGCCTTTTTGCTCTTTCCTCAGAACGAGGGACAAGGCTCCTGGAGGAAAACAAGTTGATAATAGAGAAATGGGAGAAAAAACACCAAACCCCACTGTGGCCAGCTTGCTCTTTTCCTGAATAGCTGCCATAGTGGTGGTGGCTGAATGTTCTCTTTTCTCTGGCCGGCTTGTAGCTGCTTGAGTGCAGCGGTGAAAATGCAGAGCCTGCAAAGAAGGGAGGGCAGTGGTTGGAGAAAACAGGCCCTTTACTTCCATTCCTGGCACAAAGTTCAGTCTAGGGACACTGCCTCCACCCCCTGTGATAGCACCTGTTTCAAGGTGGGAATCACCTGCCCATCATAATAGCCTTGCTCATTTTCCTGGGACATGGGGTAGGTACCACACTGGAGTACAGGGCTCAGAACAGCCACAAATAGCTTGTCAAAGAGCCACATGTGGCTCCCAAGCCACTGAATGAGCATACTAGTCTACACTAACAGCCGCCAATGTACATTAAATTTATCCCCACTAGAAGTCACCTCCTGAGCTCATCCGTTACACTACAGCTCTGGTCTACAAGAACACCCTCCTGAACAATTCTGTTTTGCACATTTTGTGAAGCAACAGGTGCATGGGGGCCTTCCTAACAGACTTAGGCAGACCATTCCGTAACATGGGAGCAACCACAGAGAATGCACATGAACAGGCAGTTGCCCATTTTACCTGTTTGCAAGGTGGCACCTTCAGACAGCTTGGCTCAGATGAGTGGAGCTGTTGCAGCAGAACATAGCAGGAGAGGCACTCACAACAATTTAAATAACTAAAACCCCAAGATTGCAACCCTAAACAAACAGGGCCCACTGAACTGAGTGGGACTTGCTTCTGAGAAAACATGCACAAGATTGGGCTACAAGTCTCTGTAAACAAGGTAGAACAAACCTAGTTCTCCAGACCTTTGCTTTTAAAATGAACAGCCAGCAAAAACATCTCTTGCTCTCCTTTGGAAAGTTGGGTCAAGCCAAACAGATTCAGCTTTTTCAGAAGAGAAAGTAGAAAGCAGGAAGTCATGTCTAGGCTTGGAGATTCCCTGCTCTGACAGAGAAAATTCTGTCTAAAAGTCTTAAGACACCATTGTCTTCTCAGACCAAACTAGACATTTCAAAAGAAATGTGTGTGAATTCAGCTCATGAGATTTTCTTCTTCTTTGGGTGGCTGTCAGTCTGAGAAATGACAAGGCTAGAATGTGCATCTTTAAACCTTCTCTGTCTAGTTGCTATTCTGTACAAGATCTCCCCTCATCCTACTGCTTCTTCCTCATAGGAAAAAAGTGTGGGGGGAGTGAAGAAACAGTAGGAAGCAAATGAATTAAGGCCCCCACCCCCCGATAACAGCTTGTCATGACTCTTCATTACAAAAAAGGATGTGGGGGACTGTTACATGCATTTCTATTTATTGCCTACTTTTGCTCTCAGGATGAACAATACCACAGATGTACTGATATGGTCCAGTCCCATTCAGGCAGCCAAGGGAACAGGCCACCTCCCTTCTAAAGAGTGATAACCTCAAATGGTGCAGAGAAACTCTTCATAGCCATGTGTGCTATTAAACTTAGAAGGTAAAGCAAACAGTTTCAGAAACGCGGCAGCTAGTAAAACTTTCCACTCAAGAGAAACGTTCCTGAGCTAGCATCAGAATCTAAGTTCCAAAAAGGGAAGTTATACCCATCATCACAAGAGTTGGTTCCAGCTGCTCCCAATAGTGATTCTCCTGAACCTCCTGGAGACAAAGAATCTGGAAAGAAATAAAGGATGCTGGTTAGGAGCTGCACTTCCAAGGCAGAGCAAGTGCCCCCATTTCAGCTGCTTCTGGTTTAATACGTTGTCTATGCTATTCCTAGGGTGGATGAAGGGAGGAAAGGAAGACTACGGGATATTCCAACTGTAAAACTTCTATGCCTGACACAGTTCTTTACCCTTTCCCATAAATAGCTATTTATAGCTAATTATACAAATAAATATATGCAAATTTACACAGCATGCAGAGTTAGAATTCTTAATGAAAATTTTTGTTCTGTTAAATAACCTACATACAAGTAACTCTGCAATTTTATAACTTGCACAGTGAGCAATACAGATAGGTCCAAATGATACTCACATCAGGATCCCAGTGCTGGATCTCCTGTAAGAGATTTGCAAGACGATAGCTCCAGCTCAAAATGTCTGGATGGCAATGCATGTAAAGATGAGGACTCTGTTCTATCAAGTCCTGAGCCAGAATATTGTAGGACATGACTCTGAACTCAAATAAAGATCCAGCATCTGAGCTTGGCTCTGAGATACAAGCCTGAGCAGAAACATCTTCCCAGTCCCTCCAAAGAATCTCTGTAAAACAAAGAGAGAGGAAGACAGATATCAGATAGATATATGCCAGGAATTCCCTTCCCATAACCCATTTCTTTTCTTTTTCTTTTTTTGGCCCCCTGAAGGGGATATTTTAAATTGCATTTTCTAAAACTAAACACTACATGAAAAGTAGGAAAGGGACTACATACTATAGGATAAAGTAAAGAAACCTCTAAAAACCCAAGAGTGAGTGTCATACAAACAGCTTTAACAAGATTACAAGCTTATATAGCTAAATATTCATATAAATTCATTGAACATGTTCATCATCTTTCATACTTCTGCTCCAACTGAAACATCGTCTACTATGACTTCTTAAAGAGTCTAAGAAATCTTATTTTAAATATTCTTTAAACTTCAGAGTTATAATAAGTCATTTTTTATCTTTTGGCTTCCTCAATCTATAGCCTTGTTTTGGGGGCGCAGCCCCCAGATTTGAGTCTGATTCTTCACCAGAAGATGACTCTATTCCATCTCCATCTTACGACTGCCTTTGTCTTCTTCTTCTTTCCCATCAGTTGGACAGCTGTGCAGGTACAGGAATTCATTTGCTTTTTCCAGAGTGTCAATTTTTTCTTTTCCATTTGCAAACTTAAAGATGACTCCTTCGGGGAAAATCCATCTGTAGACAATTTGTTTCTTTTGAAGGAATGCGACCAAGTCTTTATATTTATGCCTTTTCTTCCTTATTTCAAATGGTATGTCCTTTAGTACCTTAATCTCTTTGCCTTTGATTTTCAGGGAGACTCCATTGGCTGCTTTAAGAATTTTATCTCTGACATTTCTTCTGGAGAATCTCACCATCACTTCTCCTGGCAGATTATTATTCCTTATGAATTCGGTATATGATCTATAGACCATATCAATGTCATTTTGTAGAGTATCCGCTGCAATTTCTGCCATTTGCTCCAATGCTTCACACATTAACTTAAGTGAGATTTCCCCCTTTTTCCTCAGGAATTCCCTGGAATCTTAGGACATAGCTTGCCTTTTCCATTTGAAGTTGTAGCAGTTGAGACTCATCTATTTGTCGCTTCTTCTCCATTGTCTGCATTTGTTTTTGCAGCTTTTTGTTGGTGGTGTCTACTTTTTTAAGTTGCAATCCCGATTTGAGCTTGCTGTTTATCCAGCTTTCGATTTATTTCCATCACTTGTTCCAGTAGAGGGCGCAATGCCTCACTTAATAACCTTTGAAGGTCTGTGTTTGTGTCCTGTCTGGGCAAAACACTCGCTGGGCTGGTACTTCTGGTGATCTTAGCTTTTGTTATCTTCTCCCTCTCGTCCTTCTTTATGGGAGGCACCATTTTTAAGGAACTGTTTACTTTTTATCAAAAGTTATCACAGTCCTGAAGTTTTCAGTTACGCTTTGTAAGTTCTTAGAAATTGTTACATTCAGTCTGTTTCGCTTTAAAAGGCTCCCCCCCCCCCGGTTTTACGACTGAATTCGCTTTCAGTTTGTCTTATCGGAGGGGAGTTCCCTCCCCCCCTTGCTTCCCAATGGGCGGCTTTTGGCTCTTTTCGATGTTCTTGCTTCAGTTTAACTCACAGTTCAATGATTATATGATTTCCATATCACTTAAGTTGCAAAACCGCTAGATCACCCGGCGCTTGATCCGGTGTGCGTTTCTAGTTCCATCTGGAAACTCCGTAGTAGGACCATCGGGGAATGGATGCCCCCCCCTCGCCGGCTTTGTTGCCGGAGGAAAAGCCGTCTAGCGCCCCATGGCTTGGAACCCCTCACAAGGATTCCGTGGGGAGTGTGGACGATCGTACCCCCTCCTAGCCACGAGTTCTGGCTATCGTCTCCTGGAGGTCCAGGAGAGCGACCGCCATGGCGAGCGCCAAAACCGGAAGTCCCCATAACCCCTTTCTAAGCTGCTGAGAAGAAAATACTGGTCATCCTCCAATTCCTTGAAGAATCTGGAACAATGACATGCCCAATAAAAGATATTTTTATGGCTCCAAAAATACCATCTCATTTATTGTGGCATGAGCTCTTACAAGGAAAAGCCTACTTCACTAGATAATTTTTTGCTGCAACAGGCTGATGTGGCCATTCTTCAGGAGCTAGAATTTCAGAAAGGTGTTCACTAGTACCAAGCAAGTACATGGATTCCTTTCCTAGGAACTATATTGTGACACTTCATCCACTCCCTAGATGACAATACTCCCTGAGTAACTCTCTTGAGTTATTTTGCCATACCAGTCTGATCACAGCTGCCCATAAAGCTTCCGCCTATGCTTTATGAATTAAAAACTCAGAAACATCCAGAGATAAAACTATACAACAGACTCAATTTGAAAGAATTTCTTCAAATCCTTTAAAGCCCTTTATGGTCAGGGACCTACCTACCTGAGGGACCGCCTTTCCCCATATGTTCCCCAGAGAGCACTACGGTCAGGGTTGCAAAATCGCCTGGCCCTAGGGACGCCAGGCTAGTATCAACCAAGACCAGGGCTTTTTCTGTGGCAGCCCCAACTTGGTGGAATGAGCTGCTAGAAGAGACCAGGGCCCTGCAGAACCTTTCACAGTTCCGCAGGGCCATGAAAACGGAGCTCATCATCTATGCCCTGTGCCAACACCATTTCTAGCCCAGGCCCACCAATAGTGGATCCCATCGCCGAATGCATGTTTTCATATGCTCTCATATGTTTACATATCACAGCTTTACTGCCATCGCTATGTTAATTGGTTTTAATAACTATATTGTGTATTTTATATTAATATTTATACTGTTGTTTTATCTATTGCTTTCTTATGTAAGACGCCCTGAGCCTCTCTCAGAGGGGAGGGCAAGGTAAAAATCAAATAAATAAATAAGTAAATTCAAATACCCAAAGAGCTCAGCAACAGAATAAGATGTGTGCACAAGGCTGTGGAATCTTTGAAGAATTCCAAGGAAAGATTGACATGGATATTTCAGCACTATCAGGCAAAACTAAAAAAACATGGCAGAAATGACACCCCTGTGTTAGCACAGCATGATCACAAACATAGGACAAAATACATTTGTACTGACCATGATAAGGTATTTCCGCTGGGAGTGGCTGAAATTGATCTGTGTTCTCAAAAGGAAACACAACGCCCTCTGCTGTCACCACATCAGTCTCCTGAGCAGGACTCCAAGCCAACACAGCAGGGTCTTCAATCCACACTTCTGTGGACAGAGGTGCACCGTCAACAGCCTGAAGATTAGCCTGGGTCCTTAGTGCTGTCCATACAGTATTGTCCTCTATGGCCTCTCTTTCCTCTAGTGGTAAATTTGCCAATGCAGTTTCTACAAATTCCTGTAGTCCAGAAGTCGTTTCATTCTGAACCACCTGTTGCTGCTCCTGGCCATCAGACTGTGGGGCCACATTCAAATCGCTTAAGCTTGTCATCAGTAGCTGTGGGCCTTCCAGCCACTCAGCAGCCAAAGTGGCTGACACCTTCTCTGTTTCTGAAGTGCTCTCATTGGTGTATGGCCCCCCAGCTTCTTCCTCCAGCCACTGCTGCAGCAGGGCTTGCTTCTCCTCTGAAACTGGCTTCCCACAAACCGGAAGGCCTTCTATATGGGCCGCTGTGCTCTTCACCAGAAGCGCATTCTTTCGGCATGTAAAAAAACCATCTGCAAAACAATACAAAAAATCAAAACCTGTTGCTGATTAAAATCCATTGGTTTCTTACAGGTAGCAAAAACAGGTGCAATAAAGAACTATTTAAATTCAATAGCAGAATTAATAGGGGGACAATCTAGATAACAGTTGGTGTGGTATGGCAGACTGCTTTTATCTTCCCCTGAAAATATCTGATGCTACTGTTTTCCACAAATGTCTAAGGCAACCCCATCTTTGTGTGGATGTGATCCATGATTTTGAAACTTGGAGTTTAGCAACACCAAGACTTTTTAACTTCTTCAATTATAGCAAAATCTCAGCTAGAGATTTGTACTGTTCAACACACTAAGAACTGCTTGCTGATATATTCTGCTCTCATGCACACCATGTGCATTCACAGTTTTCAATGCTGATTCTTAAAAAGTGAAAACTGAAGAATTAAATTATATTCATTTCGAAAATTTGAAGACCAGACTAGGATGTCCTGTTAATAAGAAAGATGAAGCAGGATAATTTGTATTCTGTCATAAATTCGTAAATGAGAAATGGGACATAATAGCACAGAATATTAAAGGCCTATATTCTTCAACCATCCTCAAAAAGGATGCCATTGAACTAATGAAAATGGAACAAAAAAAAGTTAGCATCAAGAGAGGTGAAATTCCTTGCTCTTCCCGGGGCAAGTAGCGATGGTCACCAGGGCAAGCAGCTGCATATACAGCCTCTTCACAGCAGTTTTTCCTCAATTAAAAGGAGCTGTACATTACTGTTTTGGGTAGCTGTTCTGTCCCTTTCAAGCTGGAAAAGGCACCTGGGACAGCTCTTTCTGATCATAAGAAAAAGTGCTACAGGCAAGCAGCAATACTGGGTCTTGTGAGTACTTTCTCTCTAGGACAGTGATCTGAGGATAAGAGGAGATGTAGACTAAATGACACTGCATTTGAACCAAAAGGAACATGAGGGTACAAGATTCATGAGAAGGGGCTAAATGAATTACACCTAGAAAGGAAACCAAGATATAGGCAGTAAATGTATGGGTCAGTATTTAGAATACAAGTCAGTATTTACAATACATCTACACTACAAGTGTATATCTTCTTAAAATCCACTGAGCTTCCCTAAAAGAAATCCCTCTCTCTCCTTCACAGAATTCTAGTTGCCCAGAATAAGCAGGGAATGGCTAAATGTACTTTAAGTTATTTGTAAATATGCCCTATGAATTGTTTACATTTTGGTTGAAGATGAGGAAAAGGGTTTTATCAGAATACATTGGAAATATGACATAAAAATGTATGTAGATCTTGTCATTGCTTGTTTATATGTTAACTTTACACCATTCAGTGATGGATAAGGCTTCCAGCTGGGAGAATCTGGGGGGTGAGACTGGGAAAAATGAAGTGCACAGTACTGAGATGTCATTTCATGGATGAGTACCCAAAAGTAACATGAAAGCATTCCTGATGCTCTAGGAATTCCTCTAGTCTCTACAGTAAAACCCATAGAGATTAGGAGAATTCCTAGAGTGTTGCAAATGCTACAGCATCCCCTCTCCATTTTTGCTCCCACTGCTCCACTGAGCAGAGTGGGGGGGGGGAAGTATCCCACCAAAGCATGCAACCTGGTAAGCCTAATGATAGTAGATCAATTCATTTAATCAGTTGCTTTCTATATTGGTTCCAATACTTAATTAAGGCCCCGGTCACACGGCAAAGTTGCCGCGGGAGAGGCACGGATGGTGGGCGGATTATCCGGGTGTGATCACACCCCAACATCTGGGAAGTGGAGCGCACTGGTGGCTTATTGCCGACAATGCGCCTTAAAAAACTAGTACCTCCAAGGTACTAGTAAACGTTTGCCACGGGCTGCCTCCAGACACCCGTGGTGTGATCGCACCAGCGCGCAGCATTCCCCTCCGGTCCCTCGTTTACCCGCCGGCGCTGAGGGAAGGACCCGTGGTGTGCTGCCAGCGTGTCTGATCGTGTAATCGCACATCAAACTGCGCCGGGGCAATTAGCCATGCCTTCCCCCCCCCCCCGGGATATCTGGCCTGTGTGACTTTACTTGGCTTTTTAAAGCAATAATGAAAATAGGAGAAATTGGGGAGAAGATTTCGAGACTAAGGTTAGCTTTTTGTTGTGGTATGGTAACAGCCACAGCTCTCCAATATGTATTTATCACTACAGTATGTTTGTGGTAGCTTTAATAAAATTCTGAGAAAATGTGAAAAGTTTAAGATTAGGTTTTGTGGTAGCAATAATTAGAAAATACGGCCATTAAAATACAAAACCATGAAGGAGGAAAACGAGTCAGGCTCCTAAACTTTTGGCCTGGTTTCTAAAGTAAAGCACATGTACCAAGGTCTGGCATAAGAAAGTTTCCTTTAGAATATGAATCAGACTAGGCCTGGGGAGAAGAGGCACTTCCAGCAGCTGTTATGGTAGTTTCCACAATGCAAGTTAAATTTAAAATAAGCACTTAAAGATGTTGTAGGCAGGACAACTATGTGGCTTCTGTGTTCCGTAAAGCACTTACAACATATTTGAAACTAAGTGAAAAAGAACTGGGCCATCAAACTTATGCTACATGGAACAACAGCTTCTTAACATGGTTTGAACAGCGAAGAACATCATCCAGGAATTCTGGTTCCCCTGTGGAGCACCCATTCTCAGCACTGCAAACTGACCACAAAAAGGCTGGTCAAAAAGATTCATCACTGTGTATTCAAACACCCGCCCGGCTTCTCCTCCCCTCGCCTGTTAATGGGCGTTTCGATACATAGATGCGAACACTGCCGGGTTCCAAAACAGATATTCTGCCCTTGTGTGACTTCTGAGGGAAAGTTATTTACCTCTCTGAGGGAAGCCCCGCGAGCTCACTGGGAGAGGGAAAATGGCGGGGGGTGGGGGTTATCCTGCCACATAAGACCCGCACTGCGTGGAGAGGGAGGGGGAGAGGGAGGGAGTGACAAGCGAACGAGGCGTTGACACTGTCCTCGGGATTCCTGTCAGGCCTGTTCACACGACTTCCCTGAGACGAAGCCAGGCCGGGGCCTCGGCCGGCCTCCCCCAGCCGCAGAAAAGACACCTCAGAGGTGTGCGTCGAACCCAAAATGAGAGGAGGGCGCCGGCCGCAGAATCTGAGAGGCGGCGAAAGACACAAAGTGAGGGGGGGAGCGTTACCTCGTAAAGCTTGCAGAAGCCGCGCCACGGGCAGCAGCACGTAACAGAGCACGGTCCCGATCATGCCGCCCGCTCCTCCCCTCCTCGTTGCCAGCCACGCGCGAGCCTGGCTCCGCCTCAGCAAGCGGAGGAAGACTTAAGCGGGGCTCGCGCGGTGTTGTTGCCGCAGCCCTGCTAGTGGGCCAAACCGTTTGGCTGGCAGCTGCTGTTGCTCTAGGCGCTTCCTTGGCGGCGGCGAGGGGGGGCATCTCCAGCCCAAACTATCCTACCCTCAGTAGTTTACTTTGGGCTGGAGATGTCCCCGTTTCTCTTCCCAGCAGGTTACACAGACCGAGGAGGGGTAGATCCCGTAATACTCGCCCTTGTCTGGCTTCTGTCAAGCCGAATAACTCCCACCTTCCTGGTTTGGATTTGTACTGGAAAACGCTTATGTTGGCTTCGATTTAGCCTGTTGAATATTTCCTTTGCTTTGTGTGTAATTAAAACTGACATTTAACTCACGTCTCACTTTCTAGGAAATGATTGTGTAAATAGCTTGTCAGTTTTTCAAGGGCATACAAGTAAACAGATAAGGTCCCAGTGTTCCTCCACCAGGCACCCCCCCACACACACACACCCTCTTAACCTTTTAAAATACCTCCTCCTCTTTGGTCTATTCAAATGTTTGTTGTGTGGGAATTTTCAGTACAGTAGTTACCTCAGATTCATAAATCTAAAGTGATTGTTTTTGAGAAGGCCCTGGATCACAATAGTAGGCACAGGTCAGCTGGAACCTTCATAGAATTAAATAAACTGAAATTTTAGAAAGTATTTTTATTTTTTTTAATGTAAAATAAAATGTTTAGGGTTTTGATATTAAAATCCACGTTATTTCCTCACAAAGTTTACTACTCAGTCTCAAGGGTTAGGAAGAAAACTCAGAGTTTTAACACACATACTTTCATTTCTCTAATTAAAGATCTCCTGAATTTTAAATCATACCTGGGCCACATATTCTAATTTCTTTTATTATTGTTATTATTTTGTTCCCTGGGATGTATGAGATGACTGTCTTACCTGAACTGTGTTTTATTAAATTTATTCCTTGTATATCATCATGATTAATTTTTCTGAAAATAAGCCCTTTCGTAGCTCTAGCCTTGGTTTTATTGACACATACTGAAGAGTTAGACATGTCTAAGAACACAGTATCTTTCAATAAAGTTGGGGTGGGGGCAAGAAGGTGCCAGCCACTAATGTTCAGTGTGTTCCTTTCAATTGTTTGCACGCTCTGGGAACTAGAATTGCTACAGTCTACCATGATTTCGGTGTCCTCTCCCATTGTTTGAGCAGGTAGAGGTCAAAAGTGTTCTTTTCTGGTGCTGGGTGTTCAGATTAGAGATTCTGCTGGCATACAACCTGCTGAAGGTGGTTTCAGATTTAGCATTAAGGTCAGTGTTCCTTTAGCTCAGTGTTCCTTTGCCTATGGCTGCTGTTATATTCAATTTGATCTTCTGTTCTTTCTGATCAAATGTCAAATGGTTTGATAATGGTGACAGTTTGAAAAATCCCCTTGTCATGAACAGAACTGATGAAGTTGAGATTGTCCAGAACTTGGTAGCCATGCAGTTGAGGACCTATTAGGATAATCTGTGGATAAATATTTCTGATAGCACTCTTTAGAGCTGACTTGGCTGGTACTCTTATTGAAGATCTTTAGAATTCAGAGGTCCCTGCCACACGGCAGGGAAAAGGACGGCTGAACTGCAGCGAATCTGAGCCGCACCAAAGTTGAGACGCCGTGGCGGGATCCCACGGATCCCCCGAGCCGCGGCGTGTCGCTCCCCGGCACGATCAGCTGCCGGGGAGGAAGAGTCTGATGGGAGGGGGAGTCTGCCGAACTGCGCATGCCCGAGCATGCGCAGTACGGCCGGGGGCTGGGATACGGCGGCGCAAG